ATATATATATATATATATATATATATATATATATATTGTGTTGTCGGAAAAGTCATGACATATTTTTCTATGTTTTTCATTGCAACCCATTCATAGGATATAGCATTGGTAGTTAAAGACTGGTTGCTCAGATATTACCTCGAAGTTATTGCATTACTCATTCAGCTGTTGCCCTGTTTTGGGAGACAGTCATTGGGTATGTGGATATTTGTCTACTAAGTAACCTGGTCTTGGACTTTTTTCTTGTAGGTCATGGGATAGCTGTCAAATAGTAAAGGCATCCAGGCTTCTCTGACATGATTTGCAATAAAAATTGGCTTCACTTGCATCACGGACAAAACTAGGTTTCAAAGCTGCTCTACAATTATAAATTCCTGACACTGAAACACTGAAATGTAAATGATAATTCCTGTAGCTAGCTTTCTTTTTTACTTTATTTCCTTAATTTTTTTTTGCAGGGCATCAGTTCTGGTTTTTCTATTGTTGAACATCAAGGACACAGGCTGTTGGGTTACTAAAGGATAACCTTGTTTCCACCAATTTCAGCTTCTTCAGTCAGTATGCAAGAACACTCAAGATATCTGAAATAAACATAGTTCAGAAAGGCAAAAGTATGGGGAACTGAGTTAGTGACAGACCCATCCATCATCACAAAGCTGATGTCTTGAAGGTATTCAGTTTTTTCTTCCAAAGCACTTATTGTTATATGTAATGACAGTCCATGCTGATAATCAATAAAGCTCCACAAAATATCAGACTCAAATTCTGTAAAACATTAGCTATAATTTTTAATTATTATTGCCCATGAAGGCAGCAGGTCAATTAGACTTATTTTATTTTATTTTATTGATTACTAGTGGTGTATATTCATGCACACAATAACTTGTGTATCTTTCATAACAATATATTTGTTTAGGTATACAAAATATAAAAAGCTTTCAGTCAGTCATTAATTCAGAAGGTGAGATTTATTCCTTTAAAAGGAATGATGATTGCAAGACATCAGATGATTGTATATTATCTTACCTTATTCAAGAATGCAGCCAAAGTACTTATATATTCACATCTGACAGAAAGATAGAGAGGCACTAAAAATTGATTACCCTGCCTCGCGGAAGCACGCATCTCTTTCTTCTGATATTTTATTGTAAACTACTGAGAAGACTAATGGAAGTTGAGAAAGTCACACATATGTTTTCAAGTCAAAAGGGGCTCTGTTTAGTGCTGTACAAAAATAATAATGACTTAATAGTGTAAAAATGTATGGAAAACTAATTTGGTATGTTCTTAACTTTGGGTTTTAAGACAAGCAGGTCACTACAAATAAAAAGACATAATTTTATATTTTGGTTTGAGGCATCATAAAGTGTTGATCTTTTCAAGGCGTTTGTTAAATAACAATATGCAAATTATTAGGCAATTATTTCTATCATTTGAAAAGATTTCATCATGTGATAAGTCCAGTGTTTCTTTTACATGTCTTTCTAGTTTCTGTATAAACCTCATCTCTTAAATTTTATCTAGAGAGATGCCTTAACTAACCACAGTATATTAATTAATATCTCTCGTAATGTACATATAGAATATTTAAGTCACTGTCCTAGATGAATTCACAGTAGGAAATATGGCACTTGTAGTACTCAATTCAGGTGTTGGGAATTACATTTACAAAGACAATTTTCAAGACCCTGTGTCAGTAAGATATATATAGTGGGATAGATACGACAAAATGCAATCGGCTGATTATCAGTGGGCTCATGGGCTGCTGTGAAATTCCTCCCTTCTCTATTGGCAACAGTTGGCCTGGGTACCATGCCCAACCATGGATATCAGCCCAGATAACAGCTCCCCCACCATCAGGTTAAGGATGCTAAGACAACACTTTCTTTGCTCTAGACAAAAATGGTGTCAGCAATGATTTCCAAATATAGTGGTGTATCGGAAACTGTCTTTTTATGAAATTTCATCTTGATTTTTATTTCTAGACTAAGTTTTAAATCAAACAATGCAGCCAACCCTCTTCAGCCAAAAGTATAAAGGAAAACTTCTGAGAATTTAAATATCCAGCATTATTACATCTATATGTATTTAACAAGAAAAAAAATGATCATCTCCAAATACCATGTGTATTTCGCAAGGAAAAAAGGATCATGTACAAATGCCTCTTCAGAACATTTAGCTTCTCTACAATATGTATTTGCCTTGCATACATGTGGAGGAATCTACTTTTCAGTTTTTGCAACCAGTTGTATGCACTTATTCCCAATTTTCAAAGACCAGAAAATACATAACAAATGCTTAACACTAGGAGTGAAATCTCTTTGAAGGGAGGGACTACATCGTTTTCATTTTTATTTTCCGTTAAGTCTAGCATCGTGCCAGGCAGAAGGTCAATAAAAATCTTATAGAAGCAAAAATATATATTAATAGCAACTTTGATCATTCCTAAAAGATTCACAAGGTATTTTAGAGTTTAGAGTGCTCAAATTCATCTACAAATATAAGGTGTTAAAACAATAGTAAGATCTACAAACTGAACTGGCTACAAAATTTGTGTGGCCCAGTGCAGAATGAAAATCCAGGGACCTTTGTTAAAAATGTATTAAGAATTCTTGGAAGGCAAAAGCAGAGCATAACACCAAGTGCAGGTCCTGTGTGACAAGCGGGACAGGCCACATACTCATAAGCTGGTCCTATCTACAAATGTCACTAACTGAGCGTTCCAGTTCGTGGAAAATATGAGAAATGAAATTACATCTTTATTACTAGATGTTTGTTTTGGAACTTATTTGGCATTTCCCAGCTTCTTATGCTGATTAGATGTTTTCTAGAAGAAGACACAGATTTTCAAACAATGAAACTAAGGTTCCAATCAATTCTCTAAGCAAGTGTGTTTGCAACGGTTTGGAAGTGAAAGTGTGATTATATCTGTACATGGCTTTCCCTTTGGATGTATGCCAGTGTCCCTCCATGGTTTGACCCAAAACAAGCAAATCCCTGTCACACTGAGGTTAACTCTTTCAGAGCACTAGGGGGCTTGTTTAATACATGAGATGATAAAGTTGGAGATTCTACCTTGAGCGGGTAGACTGTTTACTGAGATCAGTACCTAGCATGCAATCCATTTGACTATACAAATAAACCAACTTTCTGATACTATTAAGGTCATGTGGCAAAACCTGAAGTTTTAAAAGAACAATTTTACTTTTCATGTGGGAGATCATTGAGTACACCCTCTTACCACTTTATTCAGTAATAAAGACAAACAACAAACAAAAAAAGTAGAGTCTCCTGAAGCCTTCAGGGTGATAATAGGAACTCTGTGTAAATAACAACTTCAGGCTGTGAGCGTATTTTGGGTAACATGCCACAGTTATTCTACATTATTATATGTTGTATAAAGGCACACCCAGATGTTGATACTGACTGTATTATGCTCTTTGGGCAAAAGGATTGATTAATTACATTGCTCAACGAGTTTCCCACATGAAGTTCATTCAGATTAACAAAGTAGAGTTCCCAGAGTTGGTTTTGTTTTGTACATTGAATTCAGTATCACCTTTAAGTATAACTGCCTTTTTGATTTAGATATAGCATTACTATTCATTTTACCCTCCTCTAACACTTGACTAAATTTTATACTTTCTACTATTACTGAATAATGAAATTGACATTTTTTATCAGATATTAGGTAAATCTCTATTTCCTTTTCTGTTAT